GTGTGTGTGTGTGTGTGTGTGTGTGTGTGTGTGTGTGTGTGTGTGTGTGTGTGTCTCAGTTATGTCCTGTTTTCAGTAAAATAAACATTTCCAAGAACTGATAGTTTAACTGATTTGTAAACAGAAATAAAAAGGTCAAAAGTCTCCCAGAACAAGGTGCAGAATGGACTTCTTGAAATTAAAAACGCCTCAACACCCGCCCACTCGTCTGACAGAGAGGCAGGAGTCAAAAGACTTCAATAAGCTAAATAAAGAATCAGCTCTGTGCAGGTAAACAGACAGGTTATAAATCAGTTTCTCCTGTCAGAGGTGTTAAAGTACGTATCAGTAGAACTGGTTTCTACAGGACACATTTGAGTAGTAAAAACAGTTTACATACATTTAAATAAAAGTCTTTAATCTAAGCAGCTCTCATCACTTGAGTCTATCATTTTGCAAACATTTTTTTCTCCAACAAATTTTCATTTTTTGATGCACTACAAACACATGTTGCTTCTAAATCCAGTGACACACTCCTAAAGCCAGTACTGACTCAAAACTGGATACTGACTCAAAACTGGATACTGAGATAGAGATAACAAAGTCTTATTAAAATATAAAAATTTAAATGAATGAAGTGTTACTGGAGATTCAGCAGCCTTATCAACTGAGAACTGAAGCTGATGTAAGTTGTTTTTGATACAATGGAATGGTATATTTGCCAATTGTGTAGGTGACTTTTTTTCTTCCATCTCTCCTTAAAAATAATATTCTCTTATTAATTGTTAAAGTAATACTCAGTCAAATAGTTATCAATACTTAGTACCTTATCAGATGTAACATCAGTCATGAAGCATGAAAGAGTAAAGGGCAGGGGTTTTCCTCCAGGCTAGTCTAATAACCAGCCTGTTTTTATCTTCTTCCAGGTTTATAAATCAGCTCTTTCTCAAAAACAACATACTGGTGTGAAAGAACATTTGCTAGTATTACATGCATGGAACCATTTGTTTAGTCTGCTGTTATTTTAACTGAACAATGTCACCAATGTTGTGTCATCAGCAGGTGTAATGAGCTGGTTCGTTTTAATATAGCAGCACAGTCATGTGTCAGCAGAGCAAATACCAGAGTTCTGAGTACACACCCTTGGGGGACTCCTGTGCTCTGCATGATGAAGGTCTGCATACATTCAGGCAATTCGTTTTTTTTTTTTTCATTTGAAACAAAAAAAATGAAAAAAAAAATGAAAAAAGCACTCGGGTCAGTGTATCTTTTGGTCWTTGGATTTTCATTTTAGAAACGGATATTAAAAAACAAGAAACGAGTGGATGTTAGATTTTTGTTTTAAAATACTGAAATTAAAATTAAAATACAAAGCCATTCTCATTCTTAGTGTCAAAAGGGGATAAAAATGATTTGAGTTTCATTTTCTGTTTCGGATAGCAAAAAAGAAAATTAATTTAAGACAGAAACGAAAAAAGGCTTGTATTTTACGACTATCTATTCCCC